AATGCCTTCTAAGCTGTGCCAATCGGAGACAAACAGATTTGATTTGTAGAGCTTGGCAAAGTGAGCATGAATTTCCTGGAGGACTTCTTCTTGAGAGGAGCAACAGTGTCCTGAAGTAGTCATCAATCCATCCAGATTGTTTGTTTTTCTTCTTTGGGTAACTGAAGCTTGGAAATATCTGGAGTTTTTGTCTCTTGTTTTTAGCCAACTAATTCTAGCCTTTTGGGCCCAGTATTTTTCTTCCTCCGCATAGGTTAAGTGAAGGAGTCTTTTGGTCTCATTCCAGTTATTCCAGTTTCTTGAGGATCCGTGCTGACAGAGAGTTTCCAGCTTTGCCTTTAGAGAGTTCAACATTTTCCTAGAGTTGGGCAGCAAAGTGGATTTCCACTTCAGTAGAGCGACTCTGACATTTTTAATTCTTTCTTGAATTTCATACAGATCCCCCCTGGATCCTATGTCCTTGTTCTAAGCTTTTTCCACAGTTGCAGAAAAGCCTTCCTCTTTTACCCATCTCATGTCAAAATAAAACCTCTTTTTGATGTTGTGTTTCACTTCAGTGGTGCTCAGCAGAATCAAGGAGTGATCTGAAGATAGGAGAGGAATGTGCTTAACACTAGTTTGAGGAAAGGTTATGATCCAGTCTGGAGATGAAAAGAATCGATCAAGCCTTTCCTCAATAAACTCTCCCTCTTGTCTGCAGTTGTTCCAAGTGTAAGGATATCCTGTATAAGGAGCTTCTGCCATTCCCATAGAATAAATAAAGGATTTGAATGAAGTGAGACTGCTTTCTGATCTGGGAACACCTCATCTCTTGTCAATGTTAGAGGTGATATCGTTGAAGTCTCCACCTATGATCCACATATTACCCCATGAGGGCATACATCTCTGGAGAAAGTCCCATTGCATTTGTCTGAAGTTGGGATCAGTACTGGCTTGGATGAAGATGGCCCAGAGAGGGTCAGGGTGATTGGCAAAGGAGAAAAAAATTTGAAGGGAGAAATGGTTATGGATGATATTATGGATGGAGATTTTATCTGACCAGAGCAAAAGGAGGCCACCCTTAGTACCAATGGGGGCTTCAAAAAACCAATTATCAGCAAGCTTGAGCTTTTTACAGACAGAAAGAACAAATTTTTTGTTTTTTTTTTTACTTCAGAAAGAAAGAAAAAATCCGGGAGGTGAGTCCTTAGGGACTCTTTGAGCTGGGAAATTGTAGAGGGCCCTCCAAGACCTCTACAATTCCACGCCGAGACTTTCATTTGGAAACTTGGGCCCAGTCATGGCTGGATGCCTCCACCAATTTGGATTGAGATGGGTTGTTATCGAGGTCTGGAGAGGTGGTCTGAGAAACTTTAGCTTTTTTGGGGTTGGG